ATGAAAAGTTTTCTTTACACGGACTTGGTATACCTGGTTAGTTGAATTTTTGTTCTGCTGCTTTTCAAATTTGTGTGTATGAGTGAGATGTGAGATACCTTTATAGAAAACGGTTGAACAACTTAATTACTTTGAAGAAGAAAATAGATTAGATATCAGGGCAGTCTTCGCAAATGTGAGAAGGCAGAACCGTTTTAAAATTTTTTTATATATGTGAAATATTACTTTTTAGTGAAAAGTTTAATTACTTTTAGTTCAAAATATAACGTTAGCTTGTCAAGGAAAATATATAACACACAAGGTTAGAGTAACAAAATAGAGGTTTTGCTTTATTTCTTAAGAATTACTCTAATCTAAAACTTTTCTATGTTGTAGAAATTTATTCTACACGTTATTTAGGTACTTACTGCAAAATCTATGTAGTTTTAAATATAAAAATTTATAATGGAGACATATTTAGTGTAGTTTTTTTACAAATATATACTCAGTGACTTGTTTTAGTGAATGAGTTCAAGTATGGCAGACTAAAATCGTTACTTTTTATTATAAATTTATTTAAAAATGGGAACTATATGTATATGGTTTGCGTAGTTTTTACACTTGTAATAAAAATATCAAAGTTATGTTTATTTGCCATTTACTACACACAGCAAATTCATAGACACTATACATATCACTATTTGACATTCTTATTAAACTCATTAATTTAAAATTAACTTTAAACTGAGTGACTACACACAGAATTGTTTGAAAGCAGCCATAAGATATAATTTATTTATTGGATACTATAAAAAATTAATAGTAGTTACATATAGAGTTAAGTAACAAGAACTTTATAAACAAAACAAACCTTTATATCTAGTGAACTTAATTTAATACAGTCCTCAACTTTCTTAGGCTAACATTAAAGATATCTATTTGGACCTCGCTAAATAACTCATTGGTAACAGCCATTATCTTGTTAAAAGGAAATATACTACTTGGATCTAAACTAAATAATTTTTTGTTACTTGGGATTCTTAGATTAATCTTTGCCACATTAAAATTTATATAGTCAATCAAATCACAATCTTTGTACTTATATTATTTAAAATAGAGTACAAAATATATCACAGCCTGTTGCTTTCTTCTTTGTAAAAGAGATTTAATCTTAAAACTATAGAGCATAGTTTTATATGAGATCTTATAAAGGTACAAGTATTTTTTATGGCATAAAGGTACGGTAAAAATAGTTTTTGTACTTTTTCAATATGATCAATATGTGTGGCTTTCAAGGGCATCCATATTTGTGAAACATACTCAAGATGGGGTCTTAGTAAGGCATTATATAATCTGATTTTGGTGGTAATTCTAAATTTTTTTTGTATTTCTGATTTAAAAACCCAAAGCTTTTATTGTTATTTTAGTTATGTGTAAGAAATGGTTAATAAACTTCAAATTAGACTGAAAGACAACTCCAAAATCCTCTATCTCATATTCACGATTTAATGTGACATCACAGGTCTTGTGTCTAATGTAAAAAATTAAGAGCTATGGATCCTTACAACTTAAAATATTCATATGTTTGTAAGTGTTAAATGGACGGATAAAGTGTTGTTTTTATTTACAATTATAATAAGAAACATATCATTTTTGATACCTGATAATCAATAAACAATATATTTTTTGGAGTAGTAACAGATTTATTAATACACAACTATTATTTTGTTACAAATATTTATATTATAATATTTAAAATTAACATAATAGTTGATATAAGTCCTTTAAAAATAATATATTTTGATTTAATTGTTGAATTTATACATGAGCAATTTTCCTTGTAGTGTTGTTTACATTTTGCAGAGGACTATTGTATTCTGCTTTTAGCTGATAAATCATATACATGTAAACGGGTTGAATGTAGACAATGTTAATGTTTTTGCTACTACTGCTGGCTAGGAATGCTGGACTGGGACACCAACACAAAAAAACGAAGCACAAAGCACTAGATCAGTTTCTATCACTTATACACTTACAATTTACAACCATTCAAGGAACTAGCATGTTGGAAATACTTTACGAAAACATATTAAACATAAATCAGTCGAATGCAATGTATTTTCTTCTTATAAGACACCTTTTTAGCTTGATTACTTCTAGTACTCTATTCCAATGTCCTCAAATAAAACGAGCAATAATACGTAACAATAAGGATAAAACACACACTAAAGTGTATTTGGGGTATTTTTGATCTAAATTCACTATCAAAACAACAAATTTTCCGTTTTTAAGCTGTGAATGTATTACAAAAACTACTTCGATAAAATGTAAACAAAAGTTTGTATTTGTGTACGAAATATGGATTGCCTGCGCATGGTAGCGAGTTTTTAACCGGATTTATGACAAGTGATAGGTTATATCCCGAAAACGTCAGCGCAGTAAAAGCTGCGTGTCTTTTTCCCGCCCAGGGAGTGTCATGAGCCTGATATTACTATTTGACATTCTTGTAAAACCACTAATTTCTACAATATACTAGAAAAGTTTCCTTTTGTAGTCTGTGTGTATAGATGATCTAATATCCATGTGGGTGTAGAAAAACTACTATTTTCTTAATTTTAAATAAGTGACAATCAGAGCTGTCACCTATCAGTGAGATTTAAATCATTTTTTGATTTAAATGCATTTTTTGATTTAAATACTTTGATTTTAAATCTTTTTTAAAAAAATGATTTTTGATTTATGATTTAAATCTTTTTGAAAAGTATATTTGATTTTTTATTTAAAAATTAGATTTAAATCTTTTTAAAATGATTTAAGTCTTTATAAAACGATTTAAATCTTTTTAAAACGATTGAAATCTTGTTAAAACGATTTAAATCTTTTTAATACAATTTAAATCTTTTTAAAACCATTTAAAACTTTTTAAAACGATTTATATCTTTTCAAAACGATTTAAATCTTTTTATTGATTTAAATCTTTCTGAAATTATTTAAATCTGTAAAATGATGCGATCTTTTTAAAATGATTTAAATTTTCTTAAAGATTTAAATCTTTTTTAAGATATAAATCTTTTTAAAACGATTACATCACCTGAATCGTCAAAATCGTTATCAACCTGTCTATTCCTAAATAATAATCTAGTCAGTAGGGTTGAATCAGAAATCCGAGAGAAAAGAAAAAGAAAAAATAGTAAAGTGTGACAAATAATTGCAGTGACTAAAGATTATTCTTAAGTATGAAATTTTACAATATTTTTGACCCGATATTTTTTTTTGTAAAGTTGTATTTTTTACACCAGAAGCAGCTGGAAATACTTTTTCATTATCGATATAATCCTGATACTCTTTACATATGTATTTTAAATTTATGCACACTTTTATTTCAGATTTGACATGAGTTGCATTAAGACGATTATGACTTTTTGACCAGTTCTATAAACACGCTTGGCATAGATAGAGCGAATTAATTAAATTTTTTATTTCTTTGCCTGATTCATCCACACATTTTTCAAAAAAATTAACCCAAACGCGCTCACTTTGGTTATTTGTTTACTCGCAATAACTTCACGTTGAGAGAAGAACTCTTTTAATTCGATCCACTCAATTTCATTATTCATAGCCGGGAGATTTTGAAAATGAAATGTATTTTTCCGGGAGAGTCTCCTAAATACAAAAAAAAACATATTTTTAAAGAGTCTGATGTATGTGCATCTATGTGGGGTGTTTATGTATGTATGACATTAAGCACGTTAACTCAAGGAAGAGTTGAAGGATTTAAGTGATTTTTCAGAAAAAAAAAACACTTTTTTTTTAAAAACTAGGTCTGTTTTGGGGCATCATAGGTATACCAAAACTGTAGATATCAATGCTGCATAAATCCTTAAAAATTTTATCTTGATCGGATATTTATTATTTAAAATTAATATTTCCGTAAGAATTGCATTGGGCTAATAACGATAAAAAATAAATACGAGAAAAGTTTATCGAGTTTTGCGTTTTATTTATGAGAAAATCACATTACTTAAGTATTCATTATCTTTGGCCTACCGAAAGCATTTTTTAAAGAGTTACCCAAATCTATAAAAAGATTTAAATCTTTTGAAAATAATTTATTTAGTTTAAAAAGATTTAAATCTTTCGAAAAGATTTAAATCTCTCCTAAAATGATTTAAATCTTTCCTAAAATGATTTAAATTGTAAAAAAGATTTAAATCTAAAAAAGATTTTTGATTTAAATCTTTCTTTTTAAAAAATCGATCTTTGATTTAAATCATTTGTTCAAATGCAAACGATTTGTGATCTTTGATTTAAATCGTTTTTAAAATGATCTTAAACTACATCTATATTTTACTGATTAAAATACTGTACGTAACATATTTCTGTTAAAATCAAAACTCCGAATTATATATAATATATATCGCCGGCCTTGTTTAATGACGTAGCATCGTCTGAAAACGACTCACAGCACATGCTCAGTAGTGCCGCAACGAGAAGATTAAGAAAAAAATGCGGTCATGTGGTAGATATCGGTGTCCGGAACGGGAAACTTTTTTTATTATAGCGGCACTGCACATGCTTAGGCATCGTTCTATTTTTCGAATCAAACAAGATTTTTTAATCAGATTATGATTTTCAAATTACAAAGTTTTTGACAGATTATTTGATGGACCTCACGGTGCAGGAATGCCATCTAATGATTATTAAAATATGACTACTCATTTTTATTAACACTACCCATTCTATTATCCCTTACTGCAACCATACATTTGAGAATTATTAACTCTTTTTTAGCTAAGACTTCCACTTATGTATTTAAGCCTAATTACGAAACAGGTATTAGAAATTAAAAATTTAAAAAAAAACGACTTTAAAAACGTGCAGATGCCATCACATCTTAACCAAATTTATATGGGACCACCCCTGAGGCACTAACAAAAAAATTACGAAAAAAGTAGTATTTTTTTTTTTTAATTTAATGTGTTAACAACGATTTCTTTACTTTTTAACTAAATATTATGCTATTACAATATATCACAGTTGTAAATAAATAACAAAATAACAAACAAACAAACAAACAAAAATGGACTGAATACTATATTAATTGCTCCAGAATCAACTATAAATGCATCAAAAACTATCTCATCATTATTAATTTCTTTGGCCAAACCGTATACCTTATTATCACATATCAACGGACTCCCAGGTATTAAACTAGTGATATTAAAATCTTCTCTACTGACCTCTAATGTATCGTTTTTGTTTGTAACTTTTTCTACGTATTGCGATATTAATGTATCATTTTCCAGAGTTATAATTTGGCAATGTTCGAGATCTTTATTTGTAGTTGCTACTTGAATGAAGGTGGTAAAATTGTCTGTTTCTAAACTTAGCGTAACAATATTTTCGTAATAAGGCTTTTCTTCTTTTAATTCTACAGTTGTGTTATCGTAAATAGATTGAGCGAAAATTTTCGAAAGCTCCATTTTCTCTTTGATATTTTTATAAATTTCTTTATTAATAGCTACTTTATTTGCAGAGAGGATACCTAAATAAGAGGTGTTTTCTAAATTAAATTTTATTTGGTCTAGCAGATCGGCAAATACCGTCACACGCTCTACACTTTCTAGGTCTAATTCTAGGTATTTCCAGAGGTTCATTGCTTCGACTCTATCAAAATTGTGCGTTTTCAGTATATTTAAGAACTCTTCCGTTGATTTTGATCTAACGTTATTCAAAATTTCAATTTTGCAAGCTTCAAACAAATCGTCTTTAGTTTTACTTAGTTTTTCTAAGGCAGTATCCAAATTCTTCTCAGAAAAATTTCCCTTTTTGAAAACTTCGAATGGATCTGGTTCTCCAAAATATATGGCGTTAGCAAAATCTTCAATATTAACTCCCAGATCAATAAAAAAATTTCTTAATGGAAAACCAGTAAGTTTTAAATGTGTAATAAAAACTGCTTTGTATAAATCTTTGAAGTCGATGCCAAAATCAGATAAGTACTTCTCCAAACCATCGATGCTCAATGCTTTGGAGGGTTTGTAATGTAGTTCTTTTAATATGTCATTCGTGGAAGATAAAGTTAAGTAATCTAGTGAATACAGAGATATTATGTCTGTTGTAGTGATGTTGTTGGAATTGTTGAAAATCGTGTCTAGTAAAAATGTTGAAACTTTTTCGTTTTCCAAGCCGAAAATTAGTCTAATTACGTATTCATATGTTACTGGAGTGGGTTCCGTAGTGGTATTTAATATTGTAGGTGTGCTTTCAATGTTGGTCGAATAGTTTTGGCCTAGAACTAGATGGAGACACAGTAGAAAAATTGTTAATGGGTTGGTCCTAGCCATTTTTTCTCATAAACTGAAATAGAAAACATATTATTAGAAATAAAATATTTTGTAATTAATTGGCTGAAAGTGTTGATCTTTTAGAAACTCGGCGACCACAAAATACCTTATTCTTTATGAGCAAACATTTATTTACTAAAAATGGGATTATTATCATTAAAAACCTATCAGTTCCTGCAGGTCCTGGAAGAACATAATAAGAGTACTCTTAAATGGGTGCCGGAACATGAGGGAGTATTGGAAAACGAGAATGTACATACTATGTCATTGCCGGAACCTCAAATGAGAACAATACTGTGGTACAATATCGGAAACTCGAAAAAATTGCGAAAGCGCCTTGTCGAAGGCTAGCGGTGTTTTTTCTTACATTTTCGCTGCCTGTCCAAAAGTTCCTTGCTGTTTACAGGGTAGAGTTGTGGACTGTAGTTGTGACAAATCTTGTAGAAATTTCGTCGATAGATTCATATAAAAATTGTCGTGAAATTCAGAAATTAATATTATTGCTTATTACGTTTTATTTTAACTTTATAAACATTGTATTTTATAGCCACATTTACATTTGAGTGTTACTTTTACATAGAATTGAGTTTGAAGATCCTGGTTTAAAACATCTTTCTATGTTAGTTTAATGTTAAAAATGCGACCGTTCGTGCTGAGATTGATTTAGTTGTTGCTTGTTTGGAGGCTCAAATTGTTCTCCCTGTGTGAAACAATGTATACCGTGACTAGCAGTACATCGGATGTACACGAAATATTTGTACATCGGATGTATACCCATTATTTGTACATCATAATTTTATAGAGCTTTGTTTCTAAATAAAGCAAAACATTACAAATTACTTGAATAAGGATAATTTCCTGACTGTAGTAGAATTTTATATGCATAAAAAGTTCCTAGTTTTATTCGGTCAACAGTTTTTTTTATTAATTAAGCACTACATATGTTTCGCAAAAACATTTTTTATCTTCTGGTGCAGTCAATATATTTATCAAAATAGGAAGAATAAATACAAACAGTTTATAATTTCAGATCAAGTGTCTAAAATGTTTTCTAAATATATTATAAAAATTGCTCAAAAACCTAACAATACAACAAAAACGTTAGTCTCAAATTTCAAGCCCAAAATTAGTTAAATAAATCAATCAAATATTGTTTATAAAATTGACGCAGAGGCTGTAATTCCACTTAGACAAACTAAATAATATTTACATAAAAGAATAAAAAACCATAAAAATAATATAGTAGCGGAGAGCCGCCAACAGTTACCACCTTTGTAAAGAAGCACTGGGAAATCTTGACATTAGGCCAGGTCATATGAGTATCTCAAGGTTAGTGACAGGAGACGTGCTAGACATGAGATCAGACCACGTAACCAAGAGGTACTCTTTTAATACTCCCTTTGAGGTTCTAATACAGGAAAGAGCAGAGATCACCATAAGGGAGCCCAATGCCCAACGACAGGAACAAACCTGGTATACAGACGGCATATTCAAATAATGTCAGACAGCCAAGCGGCACTTAAGGCCATATCGAGTCAGAAAGTTACGTCGAGGCTGGTATGGGAATGCATCGAAGAACTAAGAATACTGGCAGACCGAAATAGAGTAAAACTATTTTGGGTGTCAGGTCACAAAGGGACCGAAGGCAACGAAAAGGCTGACGAACTTGCAAAAAGAGGGTCAGAAGAAACACCGGAACCAGACACAAACCCAGGAGTACCATAAAGTACAGTCCGGGGTTTTATAAATGACTATATTCGGGAACAACATATCAACTATTGGGAAAGCACCCCAAAACAGGCACATGGAAAAGCCTTCATAGGCAGACCATGTCCCAAAAGAACTGTAGAACTACTCTTAATGAATATGAACCAGTTGAAAGTGATAACAGGGTTCATGACTGGGCACGCCCCAGTAAAGGGACACTTGATCAAAATTGGCATGTACAATGGGGAACTCATGTGCCGACTATGTCACAAGAAACCAGAAACGGCCAAACACATACTGTGCGAATGCGAAGCTCTAGATCGCAAAAGACAGGCTCTTTTAGGACAACCCCAGGTTGATCCAACAACGTATAGAACCCACTCATCCAAGGATCTGTACAAACTTGTACAAGGTACAAAGGTGATAGAGTGGGTGCTATGAACTAACATGGGGTAAAACACAATAAGTCAATAGGCTTCAGTGTTATTCGGAGACACATAGTCAGACGAGCCCAGGGAAAAAAAAAGAAGCGCCTTCTACTTTTTCATCTAAAGCAATTTAAATGCGTTTGATAATTTTCCACACAGTAAATATATTTCTCTTTTTAACCAAAATAAATAATTTTAATAAAAATTTACATTTTGTATTTTACTGACAATATTTTATTTTTTTATAAAGTGGCCACTGTAGGGGGCATGCTCATACACTGGCCGCTATTAACCCCAACAGCAGCCACAAATAAAATAAAAAATAAGTCAGCAAAACTTGATTTTATTATATCATAAAATGGGTTATAAACAAGCGTAAAAGAAAAACTAAATAACATTACTAACTAAAAAAATATAATTATTTTTCAGATGAACATAATTGGTACTCTATAAAGTGGATATATCTGGGATATCCGGAAAAACAAACTTTCCTTCGTAAAAATGACACTTCAAACTCTCCATCGTCAAAACATTTAATTACTTTCGCAATAAAATGCTTAGTGATCTTCTTTTTGAATAATGCAGCCAAAATAAAACTGTCAACTTTAATGTTTTCGAGATTGTAATCAGTGTTTTTTTTCAAAAGTTTCAGTAAGTGTCGAAGAGGCAATGGATATTTAATCGTCGTTTTCCGAACTTGTGGAGCTATTTTTTTCTTGCTGTTCTTGTTCAAAAATTTTTCTTTTTGTCTGTAAATGAACTTTTATTTTCTCCTGAAACTGTTGAAGAAATGGTGTTCCAGTCAATATTTCAGTTAACTTTCTTTTTCTTTTACCTTGAGAAGTTCTATCAATTACTTTTGGGAACGGCTTTACTTCCTCTGGGCTAAAATAACACTTCTTTATATTCTTATTAAAGGCTGAGCAATAAGTAATTTATCTGATTTTGAAGATGGACCATCAATTGGTTCATCAACTACAAATGGACAATCTGTTACAGATGAAGGTAGAAATTCATCATCTCTGAAGATGTTATTATCAAAGAAAAATATGCCACTTGATTTAAACCCAGAAATAATATTGTTCGCGGAGAATGCTTTGGCATACGATTTTCCTAATTACTCACTAATTTCGTAAATCCTTATACCAGGATGATTCAAAAGCCAGTTGCTGCATTCATTGCTGTAGCACCTTTTCAAAGGCCCATAAACGCTCCTATCCAAGGGTTACATCTTGTGACTCGTGTGTGGTGGGAGGATCACGATTTGGACGTTTTTCTCGGGCAAGTTTTATTACATCAAGGGGATGTGGCTCTCGTGGGTATCAATCAACTGTAAAATAGGATTTTCCGCTGAAGGTCTAGTATGTTTAATAAAATGTTTTAGCCAATCAAGAAATATCTCTTTATTGATCCAACCAGAAGGGTTTGCTGCCCCAATAGTTCCTGGCGGGGCACCTTTCAGCATTGGCTCTTTGAAAAAAATTTCACGTAAGCGATATTGCTGTTTTGTCTTGACATTGATTTAAACTTTTTGGATTTCAATTTTGATCATCCGTTAAATATAACTTCCTTCTCCAATCGCAACATCGCAACTAGTCCTGAACAACTACACCTCGAGCAAGGCTTCCGCGGTGCCGTTTTTGTTTCTTTCCTAGAATCAACGATGGCGCAACGGGATCTATTCAGCCCTAGTCATCGATGCAGAAAAATAATTTCTGCATATAAAACATTTTCTTGTAAAATCGGAGCGAATTGCATTTTTAACCATCAGTTCATCAACTTCTTTGTCAGTTTTGCATTTTTACTTTCGAGGCATCTACAAAATCGAACAGAAGACTTGTTTAAATAATACTCATACTAGAAATGAGGATTATTTCGGCCGTCGCCAAAACCTCCACCTGCTTAGGGGCCGAAGCATCACCATTAGCTAGCAACTGACTATCTGAAAATTGTGAGTTTTATAGAAAATAGACATCTCTAGCACGAGTCACTTTACCATTTTTGTATACTCTATATCCTACGGAGTCTTCACAATATCCTATAAATAGATATTCATCACTTTTAGTATCCCATTTTTGTCGAAGTTGATCAGGTTTATGGACAAATGCTCGACAAACAAAAATTTTGAGATTTGATAAATCTGGTTTAATTTTTGATCAAGCTTTCTCAGGTGTGATATCTGAAATCCAGCATCGTCTAACATACAACTTGCTTTATCGCAAATGGAACGAATCGCTCTCTCAGCTACACCATTAAGTTCAGGAGTCATTGGAATTGTAACATTATGAATTCCATGTTCACTTAGAAAAACGTTAAAATGATTACTTATGTATTCACCGCCATTATCAGACCTAAGAATTTTAATTTTCTTATTAGTTTCGTTTTCTACCATATTATTTCATATTTATGTTTTAAAAAATATATAAATTTTTTCCTTGAAAAATCATCTACGAATATAAGCATATAGTGACAACCTCCAATGGACTGAGTTTCCATCGGACCTGCTATATCAGAGTGAACAAGCCCTAAGACTTTTTTTGTCCTTGAACTAGATTTATTAAATGGTTGTTTAGTTTGCTTTCCGTTTAAACAGCCAACACAGGGTTCATTAAAAGTTCCTTTAAAATTAATACCTATTACAAGTTCTTTTAATTTATTCATATATTTGCTATTTAAATGACCTAAACGCTTATGCTTTATTTTTGAACAAGTTATATTAGCAGTATGAACGAATTCAGAATTATAATTAATTTCTGAATTAGAAACTTCAGAAGTAGAAATGGTATTTCTTTTATACATTCCATTAAATCTACTGTCTGTGGCACATTCTTTACCAAAAATTTGAATATCATTTTTATTGTAAATTCTGCATTTTTTA